TTAAATCAGTACAACTGATCAAAGATACCATCCATGGCATAAAGTTGCAGACTGAACATTTATATACATTTTCCTAAAAGTTAGTACTTCTGAGAACCAGAGGTACTAGTGTGTTTGGGGTTATGCCTTTAAACTGCAACCCTATACTCCTTGACTGTGAAGTAAACCACACTGAAATAAGGAACTTCTGGGTAGCATCTGTAGGACTACACTTACTTGGGGCTATCTTTCACTGAATTCAGTGAAGCCAAAGTCCACAGAAAACAGTGAACCGCAAGCAGGTGTCATGAATATTACTAAACCATTTACTTCTCAATTCCCAATACAAGCATAATATGCATGAGTGTATCCATAAAGGTAACCCTTCAAATGCAGAACATTACAGAAATATTAATTCATAAAACAAAGCCTAAATGCAGTAAGGAGGTGGGGTTCATTCATAGTACCTGTAAAATATCAACTGGATTGGAATGTGTGAAGAAATACATATAAATGATTTTGATGTCAACATGTTTAGCTACTGTGTGTAATTTCTGTGAGGCTATAATATAATGGTGTACCCTGCAAACCCATGCTACTGTGTGGAAGCCCTGTTTTAGTAGCAAATGCTTGGTAGCACTTTCTAAAGAGGGAAAGAGTGATAATAACTTTTTATATTTATAGATGGGGACTGGGTCATATAAGTTCAACTGGGATTGGTGTGGGAAACATCAGATTCCAGTTGCCTGTGGGTTATTGCTAGGGATAGGAGGAATGACAGTTGGAAAGGAGAATTTTGTTGTTCAAGCACAGCTTGTGTTGTCTGAACTCAGCTTTAGTAACAAAACATGGCTAGTTAACCAAGAACAACCTAGGAAGATAACCCATGCTTTGTTGACAGTTGAGAACTGGAGGCTATTTGCCACAATTTGTTACCTTGCCTGGGTTCAGAAAATACAGTAATCCCTGTTTAAACAACAGCTCCAATCCAATGACAACCCATACTCAATCCATGGGTTGTCATATTGTCTGAACCTAGTTACTGTCTCTTACATCATTAAGAAGTGTCAGCAAGCATTTTTGAACATTCTTAATAGTGTTTTTTCCTTATGCATAAAACGTCCCATTAATAAAGCAACTGGTTTAATATTTCATCTTGTCTCAAGTGGTATTGCCCATCTCATGCCTACCCTCTAATACCAAACTGCTGTGAGTTTTGAAGCAATCCTAAGGGAAATGGGTCAGCTTGCATCATTGAGGGAGGGAATTCCTCCAAATGAAAAATATGCATTGCTTGGAAAATAAGAATTCCTGATAGACGGTATTGCCAGTAAAGGAGCAGTTACTTTAAAAATAATTAGGTTGGCATGCAGAAGAAAAAAATATTGGCATGCAGGAAAAAAGACTATTAAGTATTTAGGCTATCAGAACAGTCCAAATTAAGAAAATATTTTCAGAAGACTGAAAATAAATATTGGGAAGAGGAAAGTCAGACAGATAGCATAAAATAAAGAAACCAGTTTATCCTAAATAATCAGAGAAGATCTAGGAGGTATTCCAAACTTTCATGCAGGAAGCATGGATAACTGCTATGATGAGAAGATAGGCAAATTTTCATTGCAAAATATTGGGCTTTGGAATCATATTGACTCAGGAAGTAGGGAGGCAATAGACTGACTGACCAATCAGAGCTTGCAGTGCTGGGAAGTAGCTTCCAACCAACCATTTTTCAATTTAAAGAAATCTGGCTATCATCAGGAGGGCTGAGTCACAGTTATGACTACCTGACACATTGGAAATGTGCATGCAGTTGGTACCCTTCCATGATCAGAGAATGGAAAAATGAAAAGTGAGAATAGAAAGATATGACTAATCTCTTTTTGGGAAGCAGACCCATAAAACAAGATTTCCTGGCTAGGTGTATAACATGTCTTTAAAAATCAGAGGGGAAAAAATGAAATGGTGCACCAAGTCATTCTCTTATATACAAATCTTTCTTGCATTTCTTTATCTTTACAGCATCCTTTTTTGGCATTCTGATCCTGCCCTTCCACATTCTTTTGTACAGTAATAGCTATATATGCATATGCTGAACACCATTAGTGTGTTGTTTTAGTAAGTTTCATATCCCTGTACAATGGGAAGGACTACTTGTGAGGAAATCGCATCTGTACTGGAGTCACACATTCCTGTGTCCAGCCTCAAAATATAAATTACCCTGCAATTGGCTTTGCTCTCATTATTTTTACTGATCCTTCAGTTCCATGGTTTATGGCCTTAAGCTTCATTTCAAATGTGTTGCTGATGGAGATGATGATGAAGAGAAAGACTAGAAGCTGGCATTGAAAAAATAGAAAAGAAAAACTATTCTACTTTCTGTCCTCAAAGCAGTCTCTCCTCTATTTTAAGATAGCCTGTCTTCACTATCACCACCATAAGATAGTTTAGCCCTACCTATTATTATGAATAGTTGTTCCTGATGTCAAACTGCCTCCTACAAGCCACTGCCAGGTATGTTTGCAGCTAACACTGGAGCAAGAAACAATCTGCAGAGATTGTCCCTGCTGATTAAAATTTGCAACTTGACTCCCTGCATCTTTGTCAGGCAGAAAGCAGGAGGCATCTGTGCTCTGAAAGAGCCCAAGACAGAGTTTCCAACGGTTCCCCCAACAGTGGCAGTGGCTGCTGCATTCCTTGTTGCTATACAAAATCCTTCCCAAGAGACTGGACACTAATCAACCCCATTTTTCAAACTCCTGCAGCTCAGGAATGGAGTCTGCAAAGGGAGAGGCTCATAAAGGTTGCCAATAAAGGATCACTCTTCATTGCTCAGCAGAGTAATGATGTCACATTCCTCACATGACTTTATCTATGGACAGCAACCCTATATGTACAGTAGAAGCAATCTATACCTTTTAGGAAGTCCTCCTATGTTGTCAGCATGGCACAAGCATCACTCAAACAGGATGACAGGGTTTTCAGACCATGGCTCTGGACAGCCACCTGTAGGCAACCAGGTGCCAGAAGCCTAAGCAAATACCCTCAGAAGTAAATCCCACAGTATTTAATGGGACTTATGCCTGACAAGTGTGCTTCACAGAGCAGCCACAGCCACGACAGATTCAAATGAGCTCAAATGTTTAAGGATTCAGCCCATGGATTCTGCAGCAGACCAGCAGCTGTTCCCAAGTTTTACAGATTCCACAGATTTGCGGACTTTTTAAACTTTCCATAATTTTCATAGTTTTATGTATTAAAATAAAGAATAATGATAATAATAATAAAATACTGACCAAAATGCTAATCTCCCCCATGAGCTACATGGTGAAAATATACATGCAGGAGGGATTAGTGTATGCTGGGGGGATTTGTGCATCTCTGGGAGTGCAAATTTGCATAACTGCTAAATGCATTTGCACATAATCCAATTCTGTCAAAGAGCAGATGATGGAACAAAGGGCCTCTGACAATCTGTAAAATGTACACAAAATGGATTTGGCAGCATCTGTACATTCCTGACCCAATGTCATTCATGTTCCCTTGCAAATTAATCCCATTTGAAATTGGTGGGACTTACTGCCAACTAAGTATGCATAGGGTATGGCCCCCAAATTATATACCTATTTATTTCTGCATAAGCGTTCCTAGAATCAGGCCTAAAGATTCAGCACACCCAAACACAAGCATAAACACCATAAAATTAAAGCAGGAAGGGCAGCTGCAAAGAACTGTCCGTGCAAGCTGGATCCCAATAAACCTCCCTCTCTGAGATGTCATTCTCCATTCTTGTTATAATCCTCAGCTTTCCCCAACCTGGTGTCCTTTGGGTGCATTGCACACTCACTCCCATCATCCCCCGCTGGTACATCTGGAGGACACCAGCTTGGGCAATCCTGGAGAGGAAGCTAGTAGGCTGCTTCCACAATGACACCATCAAACTAAACTGCACCTTGCGGGATTTGGTCCTTTACCAGTAATCATAATCATAGTGACCAGAGGACCACTGCTTTTTGCAGACCAAGCTGCAAGAGACCAGCAAAGGCAGCTAGAAAGGAAGCAATTACTTCCATAAACAATTAAGACACCTCCCGCCCCCGCCCTCCAACACACGCTCACTCTGCTATTCTACACGAGCAAGCACGGGATCGCAGCCTTGGCTTTCCATGAACCTGCTCCTTTCCTTCAGATGTGCCCATTGCGCTTGGCAGGGGGGCTCGAAGGGTCTAGGGCTGCTATATGTGAGCGGGCAGTCCGATCTAGGGACACACTCGCGAGAAAGCGAGCGACGCCCGCCTAACTCTTCCAAATCACTGTGGGGTGTTGTTCCTAGGATGACGATGGCTTGTCGCTTCTTGCAGAGAGCTGAGCTTCCATCAAACCAGCATCGCAGCGCTTTCATCGGACGCTCATCGGGCTTAGAGTAGACCCCGTTAAAGCGAAGCCCTTCAACTGGATTACAGCTCCGCTCAGACTCGGAAGGGAGCCCCACAGCGCTTCATCCAGGGACATGGAGCGTCCCAGGACTACGGCACAGTGGGTGCCGGGCGGCGTGGCTATGTGCGTGCGTGTCTGTGGCAGGGGGGCTGCTGTCGTTTTCCAGGCCGCCCCTGCCCCAACACGTTTCGGTTCATTCACGGCTCGTGCGTGGACGCGCGTCAATAAACGCGTCGGCACAGCCACACGCGACTGCTCCACAAGCCTCAAGGGGCACGACCTGCTGGACAGCAGATGGCCGAGCGCCGGGGGCTGAATATGACGGGGAGAAGAGACGAAGCGCCGCACACCGCAAGCCTTCTCGGGGCAGCTGCCTTCCCACTCCGGGGGCGTCGGACTACCATGCCCATCGTTCCCATATGAGCAGGGGACGATGGCAGTTGTTTTCCGACACTTCCAGCGGGCGGCGAGCTGGGGGCCAAGGCAGGCTGCTCTGGTGCCACCCCAAAGTTACGCAAAGAAGGAGGGGGGTTTCTTGGTAAAGCCAAGAGAATCATCACAATCCTGACGCAGAAAGCGCGCTTTACCTCCTCGTTCTCCGCCCGGGTGGCGGTCGCGGCTCTTGTAAGCGTCCCGCGGGGCCGGACACACGCGCGCTGCGCCCCCAGATAAGGAGAAGCTGCTCGGGCGGCTGGAGAGAGGCAAGCGGGCGGGCGGGCGGGCAGGGCGGTAGGGAGGGAGGATCTCCGAAGCTTGCTAAGCCGACGGAACAGAGGGCGCTGCCGCCGCGAGCTCGCGGCTCCGAGTTGGGGAAACTTCAGACAGGAGCGACTCGCTGCGCAGTCCGCCTCGGAGGCCCGAGAGTCTGATTGTCTGCCGCTCTCTTGCCAGGGCGAAGCCACGGCCGTGCCCCCAGGGTCAGTTTACGACGGCGGCGACTGGCGCACACGCCCTCGGCGCTCGCAACTTGGCTGCAGCGCTCCCTCGCAGACGGCGCATCCCATGCACGTGTGGCGGCGGCGAGCGGCAAATCCCCTCGCAAGCCGCTGCCCTTGGGCGGCTTCCAGAGACGGGGCGGGGAGGGGGTGAGCTTACTCACTCGCACAACCGCACAGGACCGGGATCAGGGAAGCGGGCAGGCGGCCTCCGCTAAAGAGACCTCTGTGCTGGAGGCGGCGGCGGCGGCGGCGGCGGCTCGGCCGATCTCGCCCTCTTCCTCAGCTCAGGGTTGCCGGAGCAGCTGACGGAGACACGGGCTGAAGCAGCCCTGAGTTTGCCGACACCCGTCAGGTTTTTCTAAGGGGATGGGTTGGACGCCGCCGCCGCTAAGAGGGGCGGCGCTGAATTCCTTGACGGCTTTGTTGAGGGATGCTCTTGATTGATTTGGAGACAGACAGACAGACAGAAAGACAGACAGACAGACGAGGGAAAAGTCGAGCTCAAAGTGGACTCAAGCAGTCCTACAGGGTCGTGTAAGTGTCTCCTCCACCATGTCAAAGGTGGAGCTTGTGGCCCATGGTGCAATGCAGTCATAAGGGGCCACTTCAGAGTCACCAGACACTCAGACAAGCATGTATGCAAAAGGGGCATATGCTAATATGTATGCATAGAAGCAAATTTGGAAATCCATATTCTAACTTCAATAGAAATACTGTTCTTCTAGCCACAGTGTGGAAAGTTGTGACTTGGTGGCCCTTGTGCCCTCAGTCTCCCATCCAGGTGCTATTGATGGGCAGCTTCAAGGCTAAGCTCATCTTTCCAGTGGTTCTATTTCAACCTGTACTTGATCTGCACAGCCCTTCAGACAGAGGAAGGGGAACAACTCATGGCCTTCCAGAGGTTTTCCATCATCCCTTGCCTTTGGCTAAACTGACTAGAGCTCATGGGTCAAAGCATCTGGAGCAGAACAAGTAGCTTGGCCCTGAAAGAAGGGATCCCTTCAAAAGATGCCGCCTACCTGGCACTGGCATTCCGTGGTGATCTGCTTGTCCTTGACCTCATCACTCTCAGCTTTACAGGTTTGCCTGCCCTTCTTTCCTTTCCAATGGGATTTTGGCCTGCTTTTCCAGCCACAGAATCCACACAGGTTGATCTCCCTGTTCCCCAGTGGTTTTTACCATTTAATCTCATCTATCATGCCTGTACTGGAAAGAAAAACAATGACCCAAACCTGGAATTTCAAGGCACCTTACAGATGAAACATTTATTCTGATATATCCTTCTATCCATTGCAACTTGGAGGAGGAACCTGTTCCTAGACTATATCTCTCATTATCCCTGATCACTGGCCAAGCTGGCTGAGGATGAAAGAAGCTGGAATCCAATGAAATGGGACCTCTCTCTGACTGCCACCTCCAAGTTATTCAATTGGTGACAAGGAGGAAGGGCTTGTCAGTGGTGGCCCAACAATTATGGAACAAGCTCCTCACTGAGGCCCACCTGGAACCAACTCTACTGCCTTTTGGCAGCAGGTTAGCACTATCATCTATGACAGGGCATCTAATTATCCCTAAATAGCATGGGGGAGGGGTAAGTCAGCTGCTTAACAGGTCGTGTTGCTTTGATTTGTGCCACCTATTGAAGTTGTTTGTATTTGGCTTTGAACGTGCCTTTTAAATTGCATACTGATTTTTAAAATCGTTACCTATACTGCCATTTATTGCACTTTATGTGCTATTGTAAACTACCCAGAGAGCTTTGGCTATTGGGCAGTATAGACATAAATAAATGTCAGTTTGGAGATCTACAGGTTCCTCAGTCCAGCATGTGAGAATTCCCTTCATTGGATGCATTCCATTTCACTCAAACCAATGCTATAACTGACTATCCTTGATTCCCTGAACAAGTAACATCCATTCGCCTTTCTTCCATTCTGAAATGCAAGGCAGCTTGCAGAATTTGCAGGCAGCTCTCATCCAGACGCAGATGAGACCCAAGACAGCCTAGCATTGGATTGTGTGTCCTCCAACAGTGCCCCACTGAGACCTTTATGTTCCCTGAAGACTCTCTGTTGTTTTGTTTTTTCTGCCACAGGCTAACAAGGCTACCCTTGTGAAAGCTGATTCCAGTCCTGGTATTTCTTCACCTCTCAATCATTTGCTCAGAATGGGGGAGAAAATGTTGGCTGGTAAGACTGGAAGACTTTCCAGGAAAAAGGTGCATGCTTGCTAAACTTTAGAAGGAGCAGTGCTTCTCCACTTCTGGCTTTTCACTTTCCCCCACTACTGACCCTGAGAAGGCAGAAAGTCCTGATATTTTGCAAAACACCCCAACTACTGCCCATTAATTAGCACTCTTCCGCATAGCAATTTTTAATGAAAATTTGGTTCACACTATTAGTGCATCTTCACTCCTAGTCATACTTAGGTTATAGGATAACACATGTTCCCTGCCGCATGGATTTCAAAACTTTGCATTTTGAAGCATGTAATTCTCCCTCTCCAGTGCCATCAGCCACTGACACATGGTTGAGTGCCAGAGCATGGTCGCTACTATGGTTTTTTCTCTCCACAGTCGGATTTTCTATTCTTTTCCTCTTTTTTCTTTTTAGTTCATGATGTGTTGTTTTATATTGTTTAAATAATTGAGGTTGTTACATTGTAATTTTATATTGTGTAAGCCGTTCTGAGCACTGGGTGGAAGGAAAGGATATAAGCACCGGGGGCTTTTAAACAATTTTTTAATTGTTATATTGTTATTATTTATGCATTTATGTATTTCTGTACTTTGTATCCTGTTGTGAGCCGCCCTGAGGCTTCGTTACGATGGGGGTGGCATAAAAATGTTTTAAATAAATAAATAAATAAATAAATAAATAAATAAATAAATGTAAATGCTTGTACAGCAGTCCCCTGAAATTTGCGAAGGTTACGTTCCTAAAGCACCTGCGCGTTGTGAAAAACTGCGAATTTGGTGCCAGCAATGGGCACTGGCCGCCAAGGCGGTGCAGGTACACATGCGTGGCATGGCAGGGGCAGGGGCGAGCGCGTGCAGAGATCGTTTTCTCCGAGCGAGTCCAAATTCAGAGGAAACGATCTTGCGAGTAAGCTGTTGCATGCAAGGAGATCAGCTTGGACTCGCTTGGAGAAAAATTCCGCGAAAGACTGAAGCTGCGAACACTGAACTGCGACTTCACGGGTGCATGCTGCAATTAATAAAGAATAAACACTAGGGTGTTGCAGTAGGAATAAGTGAGTCTGAGAACCTGGCCCTACTTGCACTTGGTGGGTTTTTGGTGCCTTGCAGACATGAAAGCTGAATGCAGTCTCAGTCCAGTTTATTTTCATAGCTTTGGCTTTTAAAGTAGGCCAGAGACTTGTGTATTCTTTTGTAAGGCCAGAGAAATCTGAATAAATTCCTTCCACAATTGCGCAAATTGTGGCTCAGATTAATGCAAATTCCCCTGGCTTGCTTGCTTTTTTTTAAAGGCAAATGGTGTCCCACTTAAAAACAGAACACTGAATTCTGGTTCCATTCACAGCAGAACAAATTAGCACCAGTGTTCAGTTGATGGGCTGCAACCCAGAAGGGCTAAGCTGGACTAATCCACCAGTTGCCCCCCCCCCCGGCCACCCCACCATAGTCAAACTCCTTGCACATGCCTACTTGCAAAAGTGACTGAGTATAACAGGTAACTCTTACAGGCATTTCAAAGTTTCAGGGTTTCCTAGCACATTGCTTGAAAACTGCTGCTCTGTCAGGCCAAAACAGCTTTGCTTCCCTATTTCTGTTTGTGTTGAACTCTCAAGGGATGAGATGCTAAATGAAGTACAAGCAAGTGTATACAGAAGAGTATTTATTCTTGCTTGTCATTTTAAAAAGATGATTTAGTTAGATCTCAGCCAAGAAATGGTTATGATTTTGTGGTGCTGGAGGAGTTGAATGATCCTATATTGTAACTTTTATAGAGAATGCAAAGAAGAGTTCATTATTCCATTAATAACAGATCTCTGTGGTAGCAATCCTTCCACCTTGGCATCAACTTATATTTATACGTCTTGCAAATAAGACGTATCTTCTTACATGACTGGAAATCATGCCAAATTTTGTGTGATTCTAATGCAAATTAGGAAAAAATGCTGTTACCTTGAGTGAAGATACTTTATAAAATGTATTCTGTTGCTATATTGGCTTTAGTTGTGTTTTAACTTTTATTAATGTTGCTGGTCTGTCACTATAATAAACAAAACAGCATGGAAAAAAATGACATCAAAGTATGTTGCTTACCATATATACATACTTTAGGGAAACTAATTTCCTCCGTATCACACATGTCTCACTCCTTTGGAGGTGGCAGAAAGACCAAAGGACAAGTTTGCTCCAGGCCCAGCTTGCTGCCTGAGTAGGCCTAAGCCTAGCATTGCTCCTTGCTGGTAGAAATGTTTCCCAGGGGCACAAGGGAACTATGCACACTCAGCTCTTTTCTGCTACAGTTTGGAGACTTGACCTTTGCATTTGACCTGTGCAGATCTTCTTCCTGATTCCTCTTGTCTGTTCTTCAGTGCACATTTTAAAAAGAGCACATCCAAGATGTGTCTTTCCCCCATACCCCAAGAGTTGGTAATGACTTCTAGAAAAGTTGCAACAACCACAGAAAGTCTTGCAACACCTTAAAAATGAACCATGGACTGGAAGTCTGTGTCACATGATGCATGAAGTGTAATCTTAAGCTGGCTGGTAGATGTATGAAAATAAATAAGCAGCAGGGTCAGAGGGAAATGAAACACAAAAAGGGCAGGCTAGGATGAGAGTTGGTAATGCAGACCTCTTGAAGAAACCACAGACATTTGCAGTACACAGAGATCATAGAGGATCCATGAGGTTAGGTCCATTCCTCTTTACAATTCTTTGTTACATAATTGATTAACTGTTCCACCTTGGGAGCACTGTGCAATAAATTAAAGCACAAAATATACAAATGTACAGCAAAAGCAAACAGATGAATAAAGCAGTGGCTGGAATTTACCACTGCTTAGTCAGGAAGTGCTTGTGTAGGGTGCTCAACCTAAGCACTATTTAGTGAAACCAAATTTAAGCGAGTCCGACATGCTTCTTCTGGCACAGGGGAGC